TATATATATTTGTTGTATAAATATTCAGGTACTAATGGGATGATAATCCTAGGCTAGTTTCTTTTTTTTTTTTTTGTTACATAGTAGCTATCCTTTATCAAGTGTGTAATGACCTACTCTATTGATACAATTACAACTAGTGGCTAATTATTGAATCAATGAGATTAATTGAGTTAGATCATGATAAGCCATATTTTCATATGCTAATCAATACAGTGAAGTTTTGAGTCAACTAAAAACAGAAATAGGACTAATAATACTAAACCAAACAAAAAAATAAAAGTAAACACAAAAGTCAAAGTCAACCTTAAAGTCTTCAACTAACTAATTGGACCTATTACATGAAGAATACAACCAAATGAATTTTAAAATACGAGACTAAGAAAACCTTATTTAATTTCAAGTTTTATGTATTTTTTTTTATTATTTTAAAATACCAAAAACACAAAAAAAAAATTGAAAAAATCGTATAACGATGAAATTTGTCAATTTTATGCCTAATTTACTCCTAAAAGAGAGTAAGGTTACTTAGAATCAAGTTTTATCTTTGGAATCAAAATTTCAACTAAAACACAAATGTTTAGAAGTGTTTACACACAAATATTACACAAAACCACAACAAAACTCAAAGAAAATAGTTATAATTTACAAAAATAATTAAAAAGCATGTTATCGGTATGATAAAATCAAGACACAACTTTTGTCCTGATAACAACACCAACTTTGATAGTCTTGCTGACTTACTAAAAAACAACTAGATTTCCCTTAAATTTGACTAATCTAGACCATTCTTATTGGAGAAACAAATCAAATGAATCCAACACTATAACAAATTGTTAGAAAAGGAGATTTTAGGTGAAATCACAATTTCTAGCAAACGCAATTAAACCACAATAGACTAAAATGAATCTAATCGAAAAAGTGTCAATTCAAGATTATAATCCTTATTGTAAAATATAAAATTTGAATTCAAGCATCATCTCATCAATATGAATTTAAATTTAATGTAGATCTATATCTAAGAATTTAACAAAAATAAAACTAGTAATCACTTGTCGTAATTTTAAAAAATTCGAGAATGATGAATGATTGATTTAGGAAATTAATCAATTACCAAATTGTCATTTTAGATTGGATTAATCAATCCTAATATAATTTGTATATATTTATATCTAAAAATAGAATTTGTAATCACAAATCATGAAATTAGATCTAGAAAATAAGAGAAGGTGAAGAATTCATATGGAAAAAATAAATCAAAAAATAAAATTTTATCGCAAATCTAGAAATCTCAAATTAATAAGTAGATTAACCAAACATCTCTATCAAGATGTTGCTGCAAAATCAACAAGAACAATAAGAGTGAAATTTATGAAAAAGAGAATGAATTTAGAGAAACTTATTTATAGACACAAACTACACTTATTTAGACGTGAGCCTAAATGAGATTAATTACAAGCCAACTCACTAATTACAAGACTAAACTTCTCCTAAGTTTTGTTCCTAATGAGAATTCTTGGGCAAGTATTGTGTGAGAAATTAATTTTGTAGATCTCTATCTTAGGGTTCTAAGGATACCAAGAACGTTCAATTCAATTGTCAACAACTTAAGATATAGTTTGTGCAAAACATGTCAAAGTGAGAAAAATTATAAAAATTAACTTAAATTTAAAACTAACACCAATGAAGTCCATTAAAACAAATCACGGTATCAAATGTTAAATAAGCCAAATATGATATACAAAAGAATATATCAAATATGCTCTATCAAGGACATGTTTTATTTCACACAGAAAATCAAGATAAAAAAGTACCTAGGACATATTTTTGTTTTTACTTTTTTAATATTTTTTTAATAAATTTCATTTGACCTGTATAAAATCATATTTTATTAATTAATGTGACATATTTACAAAAAGCAAGTAGGAGTATCCATGAAAAATAATACATCTAGAAACTATCTTTCACACATACACTTTGTTAAACTATACATTCTTTAGGTTTCAAGATATCACTTCTTTCCCAATTCAAAAATCAGTTCTCCTGGTTGGTTAAAATATTCTTTAATGATGATCTCATCTTCAATTTCATTAAATACTTCTTCATCTAATGATGACATGAGCATCTTTTCCAAATTTCTTATCATATTAAGTTCATCCCTTGTCTCCTCATTATCCAATTCATTACTGTCTTTAACTTTCGTATTATTCATGCTCTCCACCCATCTCTCACTCTCTCCTTCATCACTACTCTTTATTGTATCCACTATTTCAGTTTCTGTATGGTGAGGTGACATTTTTGCGCATCTACTTGATTCACAGGATGTTGAACCTAAATCCTGCTAGGAAAGCAAAAATAGTGTAAACAATATGAACTATGGTACATATCACATGAGTTTCTATGTTATTGTAATTGTAATGAAGAACACAGATATTATATAATGTACATTGGTTAATTCTTTGAATGTTTTAAAAAAATATGTACTTTGTTATCTACAGCTGCAGCTTCAGTCAACTTTGGTTTCTTTTTACCACCTTTTGGAGGAACATCTCCATGAAGCAAAAAGTTGATTACTTCTGTTTGGGATCGAAATTTAAGCTTTGAATGTAGGTGATGGTAGTACTGCACAAACATTTATGTTAGTTGCTAGTGTATGCTAGCATATTTCAAATTTCTTGAAATATATATGATATTTTAATTTAAAATAAGTCATTACAATCAAATAGTTGCATTTGTTTCTTCTTCAAAGTATAGATTGTATGTATAATTTTTGTTTCAATCTTTTGTGACGCTAAAATCTTTGATAGTTGGTCTTACACAATCTTTAATTGTAAACTTATCCTTTGTTTCGTCTTTGCAACGTTCTCGCTTTTCCAACAACCAATTTTGTAATCTTTCTTTCACTAAAAATTTTGGAACTTGATTCGTCTTGCTTGCTTCTTCGCTAAATCGATTTAATAGTACCTATAACAAATTGTTAAGATGTATATTTCTTTTAGTAATCAATTTACTATGTCATAACTTGTAACTTGCATGAAAGTAAAAACAATTAATTGGCAATGAATTACAAATCAGTTAGCAACTATTACCTTTTCTAAGTCAATATTTTCTTTGAAACAAAACGGTGGATGTTCAAAAGAAAAAGGTATTTCTAAGAGAAGCTTAGTAGTCGTCTTTCTCCCTCTTTTGAATTGAGCCTGCATGATAATGATATCATTGTATAAGTCACACTGATATGATTTTAAAGCACATAAATGAGAAACCTTATCACTAAAATCTAAACTCTAGGGTTGACGCAGAGAAATCTCAAAATTAAAAATAGTTATAAAAATTTGAAAAAAGAACTTTACTTTGTTAGAGGTTTCATCAACGTTGTCATTCTCTATTGTCTTTGTTCTAGACGTAGGAACTGCTGGTACAGATAACTCACATTCATCGTGTTGAAGATTTTCTAATGTTCTCCTCTTGACTTTCTGCTCTCTTATATACATAAGTAAACTGTTACAACACTTATTCAAGTACTATGAAAGAGTATCAAGTGAGAATTATTAGATAGTTTGAAAAATTAAAGTGATAAATACAAAGAAATAGATAATATTTTGACGGGGGACAATTAGATTTACAAACCTTTATTTGTTCCACAAAGGCCTTTTTAAGTCTATCAAAGAGATCTGGATCTTTAACAACACTTATTGGTTGTGCCACCACCAAATTAAGTTTCTGATCAATGGAAGCCATATTTGTTGATCTAGCTAAAAATTATTTGCTTAGGTACACTAGGGGAGGAGAAATTGCTATAATTAATAATATTCTCATATATATGGACCATGAACACACATATATATAGACACCACTGAATAAGTAAACAAACTGGTTAGTTTTTCTATTTTAGGAAAAAATTAATTATGGATTTTCACAAACATGATATTTAATAGAGTCAAAATTATTATTTATTTATTTATTTAATATTTCTCAAAATAATTTTAATTTTATAAAAGAATTGTTATACATTTTGTCTTAAATTAAATATTATATTTTATGTATTTATTGTATTTCAAATATTCAAACATTTTTTAATTTTTTATTGAATTTGACTTTCAATTGTTTGGAAAAATTTAATATAGATTATTACCAATAAGGTATTTAACAGGGGCAGATATATATATATTTTTACATATTTATTTAATGAAATTAATATAATTTCTTATTATTTAATTTTTTAATGCATTTTTAGTTTTTCATTTATTATAATTTTTTTTATGTATTATTGTTATTCATTGAATCTAACTTTGCGTAGACACATGCATACACACCACACACCTATATATCAATTAATTATTTAAGTTGACTTTCAATTTTAGAGTAAAATAAATTATAGATTGTCATCAATATTTTATTTTAAATAAAATTTATTAAATTATTTATTTATTATTTCGGATAATAAAATTCTTTTCATTTGTAAATTGTTATGCATTTTTGGCTTTCATTTAATAATATTAATATATTATATATTTATTGTCCTTCATTAAACTAAATTTTTAATATGCAATGTTTTTAAAGTTGACTTTCAATTTGTGATAAAAAAAATTCTATATCTACACTAATATGACAATTAACAGTGGAATTAATTTTTTTTTATTCAAGTAATAATATCGTTGAAAAAATAGTTTATGTACTGGTAGTAAAATATTTTTCACAAGGTCATCTAATTAAAATTATTATTTATTACAAATTTGTTGACTTTAATGATAAGTATCTTGAAAGTCAAGCTTATTATAAAATAGAGAATAGCAAATATTTGTTTTTAGATTATCAATGTATAAAAATTACACTTAATTTCATTTTACTGAATTATTTTATGCATTTACGGTCTTCACTTAATTTAATATTTTATGTATTCATGGGAATTCATTGGAGGCACAAATCATTATTATTTATTTATTATTTTTGTTAATTCATTTTAATTTATTAAAATTATTAGAAATTTATGGTCTAGTATTTAATATAATATTTAATGCATTGCGTATCTTTCATTTGATCAGCTATTTCATATATTTTTCTATATTGAAGTTATGATTCATGTGCCTGTATTAATTTGTGGATATCTAATTGTTTACTTTTATGTAACAAACAACATATTTCATCCAAATTTATGAAGAAAAAAAAATAGTCTTCAATTTTAACATTATACTCTCCTCAATATTTTCCTTATGTTCATATATTTGTCTTATTGGGGTTATGTAATCGATTACATATTTATTGTAATCGATTACTTAGTGTATTTGAAAACAAAAAATTTCTCTTTTAATCGATTGTAGGATTTTTGTAATGGATTATAAGTGTTAAAAATGAAAGTCCGGAAGGTTTTGAAACTCGAGGTAATTAATGACAATATCCTCGTAATCGATTGTAATCGATTACAGATTGTTACATAAATTATTTTATAAACAGATAGTGAACGTTTCATTAGAAGAAACAAATAAAAAAACACTTTTCTTAGTTTTTGAAGATTATTAGAGAGAGAGAATTTTCATGACTTCGTCATATGTTATCATCTACCTTAGAAAGATAGATATTTTTCCATGAAATTCAAAGACTCAAGATAGAAAGCAATGTTTTTCGAAGGAGCTGCACATTGTACCAAATTCATAAAATAAAATAAAAAATAAAAAAAAAATAAAAATAAAACTTTAAATAAAATAAGAATGTATTGTAAAAGTTAAAATAAGGCACTGCAAAGGCCCTTGCAAGTTTATACAGATCCAAAGGAAAATCAAACAAGATAAACTTTAAACTAACTATGTCAAACATTTTATTGTCGAAACTCTCATTGTTACATCTATGAGAGCATAACCCAATCGAAAAGATAATAAAATAAAAGCACCACTTCATCCTCAACATCCTCATCTAAAATCGGTTGAATCTCACTTAAAATTCGCGTTCAAGTTAAAGGAAAACAACACACATAAGAAAGAAAAAAAAGTGAGATATGTCTCACAATATACCTTTATTATGAAATGAAAATTTGGACAATATCTATAAACATAAATTATCACATAACCCCACATACACAAAATCAAATGTCAAACTAGGGATGGTAATGAGGCTCCATGAGGGCAGGTAATTGTAAACCTGTCCCCACATCGCTGGATGAAAATTAGTCTCATACTCACTTCATATCCGCGCAGGTATCCATGAATTTCTTGAATATCTACGGATATTCATGGATATTTATAAATTTTTTTATGAAATTAAAAAAATTATTTTACAAATGATTTTAAGTTTATATTTAATGTCATTGAAATATTAAAAAAAATTCAATGTTAATTTTGTACTTATATTTAACGTTAATTTTTTTGAAATAATAATAAAAATGCAAGATAATCAATAACTTAAAATACATCAATCTCACAAGTAAGTGAAAGTCTCATATCACAAAGCTACAATAATTCAATCTGATAATTACAAACGAAAGTAAACAACTTAAAATACATAAATCTTATTAGTCCAATCAAAGCTAGAAAATTAATCGAATTACATCCAACATAATTCTATAACATGCTTAACACATGTTGGTAACTTCATCAACCTCACTTTTGTAAGAAAATAAGATAAGAGAGTGTAATTTTAGGGTTATGTGGTACAAGGATAATTAGGATATTTAAGAAATACTATTAAACGGGTATCCGCGGGTATGACTATCATCATACCCGCCCTTGTCCCGTTTATAAACAGGTAAAAAATTATCTGTCCCATTATCCGCGGGTACCCAATTAGTCTATCTATTTATTATCCGTAGCGGATTTTACCTGCAGATACCCGCGAGTGCGGGTATTTTTTCCATCCCTATGTCAAACACAAATGACTACACCATAGAGTTCGATCACAACTCTCTTAAGTCTAACAAATATTCACTAGCAGCAAATCAAGATTTCTTAGTTACGTTGGGTACTTGTTTCTCAACATGTTGAAAAGAATATGGATGATTGTAGAGACCTCCCTAGGAAACTCACAACCATACCTCCAAACAATGCATAATGCATTTGGTGCATGAACATAACAAATACTCTCAAAACTTAGTTCACAAATAAAAAAAATGGCTCAACATCAAACGTAGACTTTATCAAATGGATAAACATAAGCTTAGATTTAACAATTGACTAAACATCAACTTAAACATAACAACTCTAAGCCTTAGGTTGTAGATTTAAACAAATTATGTCACATACTCAAGATTTCCATTAGCTCAACATGACCTTGCTCACCTTGAGCATAGTCATGGTCCCTCTTAGCATGACCCATCCATGATCTCAGAAAAGAGTTCCCAAACGTTGCAAATTCAAGTTCTACCAGACACTACCTAACTATACCAATCCTCTCTAATATATATGCATTACTTTGGTTTTATAATATATAAAACACTAAATTAAATCATTAAATATGACCTAGTCAATTTTATAGGAAGTTCCAAATTAAGATCCCTAACCTACTTAAATTAGACAATTTTATCATATCATCCGATTTAAGAAATAAAATACATCAAAGTAATTTGATAAACACAATTCAATCCATTGGAATTCAGTAAAACATATACTTTTCTTTTACACCAATAAAATAAAACATATACTTAAACAACACTCTTTTATGATATTGAAAACCCTTTTAAACTCATGCAATTAAGAAACTTAAAGGGATTTAAGGACAATCCCACTACTCACAATTTTAACTCATAAAACATGGTGAGCTAAATCCCATGTCCTACTTACCTCGATGACATCACTACACTACGAATGGTGTGAGTCACTTCTTTGAAGCTCATCATCAAGCTTAGACTCCAACAAAGTCCCAATAGCATGTCTTTCAAGCATGAGAAGAAAAAAAACTCAACTTTGACTATTAATTTCCCATCGGACTATTGATAGTTTAAGTGATGGTTTTCCAAAAGCCGTTACTTAATCCAAAACCAACACAACATAATGTTTAATTTTAATAAAACTCCTTTAATTTATTTTAAAATCCTAAATTAACTAAATAACTTTAGGAAATAAAATAAAAAAAAATATGATTTTTATATTACTCTTATACTAAAATCATATCATATATTATTTTCAAAAAATAGGATGTTACAACTCACTCTCTCAAAAATAAAATTTTGTTGAAATTTAGGCTCGCTAAGAATGAGGAGTTGAATTGGTGTTCAAAAATTCAAACAATATAACAATCTGAAAACTCATTACATTATAGTTCAATTACTATGCAGTTGAAACATTAAACAATAATCAACTAACCTAGAGTTATCATGCAATAGTCACCTGGTCATTCATGCGATATATACATGTTTAGGGCTGAAAACTTCAAACAATTCCTACTTATGAATCGGAAAACATAAATCCCCTTTATGGGGTTACATACATAACTTATACATATATACAATATACACAAAATACATCACTCTATTCAAAATAAGATACTAATCGCCATTCAATTGTCTATACAACACTAAGCTACACTAGAGTATCATCACCAAAATTAGGCTAACACTAGTATAACCCTCCACTAGCTAACCAAGCAATCATGCTAATCCACTCTGCCCTACTTCCATACCAAGCATGGTCATTGTAATTTCAAACACAAGGAAAATAAATGGTAAGCTTGTGAAAGAATAAACTTAACAATTAAATAATAGTTAACTCAAAAAAAAACATCAACTGAAATCATTCACCAATGATTTAAAGAAAATATTTAATAAAATCAACTAACAATGGATGATTATAACACAACC